TAGAGCGTGCCTTTATAAAGTGTAACGTAAGTACATGAAATATACCTTCATAAGCGTAACGCAAATCCGCAAATCCACAAATGTAACGTCCACGCATAAAACACGCATTAACATACTCTAATTGCAACGTGGTTGTGGGCATGCAAACTTGTATAAGAAAACCTGATGCTGACATAGCTAGTTAGAGCAACGATTACAATTAAAGGGGCATTATGGCAGATTTGATAAAGAGCTGGCAGTTCTCGCTATAATAGATAACAACTACATAATGCAAAGGGGATTTGCTGAAAATTTCAGTCAAATTGATAAACTCTGAACTGAGATATTAGCTTTTGAATTTTAGGCCTAGTCTCGATCGTCATTACTAAAGTCGGTACGATAAAAAAAAAACATAGTTTTGATTATCCATTTTTTTGATTTAATCATCAATGAACGTTGAGCAGCAGATCGGATTTAAATCCTGTAAATATCACAGGCTATCGATGACATCGACAGTTGATTATGGTCTGGATAAGTTAATCAATGTCACATTAATAATCTAGATAACATTTCAGGCCTAAAGAAAGACCTGCAATAGGCAGATTTAGCTCTTGCATAATGTATGTTTAATATTCGCCGTCCAATTTTCAACAAACATTCCTTGTCGTTAACAGTTATTGTGCAATCGAACTTACAGTACTTAAAATCCAGAATCAATATTTTGCCAAGCTAATAATATTTACGAATGTTTATGATATTACTGCCCATGCTGTCGAATAATTTGCATTAAATAAATGTTATTGTTACAAGAATAGTATTGTTAGTATTGGTATTAAATTATAATTTAATCTTTATTACTTCATTCATAGGAGTTATTTGAGACATAACATTATCTATTTGTATGTAATCTGAGAACGTGTGTATATTAAAGTCTCGTTGCGTCAATTTAACACAATATGAATCCTTTGCAAACTACAAATTGTGAAAGATGGATGTCTAATTAATAGATTAATAGGAAAGATATGTCGAATTAAAATCTCATTGGTCTATGCTGCCTCCAAATTGCTTTGTGAGCGAACCGAAGTGATAGGTCTATTTCAAATCCGGCTATCTATCTTCGGTATTTTGATTTCGTTTTCACAATTAAATGTTCAATAATCAATCAGTGCATATTAACGTGTAAGCGTTAAGAAGTTTGATATTTTAGCGAAAATTGACAATGACGCATCGTTGCTTTAAACTCGGGTGGAATCTATTAAATAAAAGATATCTGTTGAACATCTATTTAGAACAGTTAATTTCTTGTCTAAGGGTTCTTTTGCGTGTTCGCCAATGTGTACACGTAACATCGGTTTTTTGAACCATCCGAACGACTACACACTGTCCGCATGTAAACAAACAAAAGACACCAATAAACACAACTCGGATACAAAAAATGTATATAACTAAACTTTATTAGCTATATAACAATTACTAAGAACGTGAAATATCCTTGATAAAGATATTGAATATTGGTCTTGTCAAACAGATAAATGACAAGCGACAAAATCAGAAGAAATTTCAATCAATATGACGCATATGAAATGTTAAAAGTAGAAGTTGAACAATTAAAATATAGATCTATTAAAACATAAAACAATTACAATGTAGATCTATTAAAATATAAAACTAGAACTATTAAAATATAAAACTAGAACTATTAAAATTAAAATTTAGAACTATTAAAATGCTTAATCCCAATCATTTATGTTATTGTAACTGTATCTCTGTGTTCCTCAATTATAACTACCCTGTGTCCTGTACAATTAAATATTCGTGAATGCAGATAAAATTGTACAGTTTTGTTAATGCTATTGTAACTATATCTCTGTTTTCCTATGTTTGTTTCATGTAGATTTTATATAGTATGTACAGTATCTTATAATGATTTTTTATGCAATACAGATTATATTATATATTTATAAGGAAAACCGACGTCCCGTGTACACATTAAAATATAAATCTATTAAAATGTGAATTATTAAAATGTAGAACTATTAAAAGGTTGGATTATTATTGAAATGATTATTGGGTTTTATTTTTTATATCTTTGGGTTTTTTTTAACTTTATCTTTGTTTTTTTTAAGTTTGTTTGTTTGGTTTTGTGCTGCCTCTACACTTTATTATTTGTGTATGTAGATAACCTTATACGTTTTATTGTAATGCAATAAAGAGGGGATTTCAAAATATGAGATTTTAAAATCGAAGAACGCAGTATCTGGTTTGTGTTGTTGTCATTTTACCGAGATAGAAAAACATCAAAACATAAAAAATGATTTTTATCATTTTATTGGAGATTTTAAAATTAAAAAATGGAGTATCTGATGTGTGTTGTTGTACTTTTAGTTAAGATTTTTAATCAAAACTATGTATATGATTTGTCTTATTTTAATTGGGATTTTAAAATCAGCAAATTGTACTGTTTACATACAAGCTGAGGTTTCAAAAAAAAAATACGTGTTAATCTGTGTTGTCATTTTAGCTGAGATTTTAAAATCAAAACATGATTTGTATCATTTAAGGCAAGATTTCAAAATCAAAAAGTTTTCTTGTTTAAAATCATAACATAGTATTTGATTTGTATCATGTAGCTGAGATTTCAAAATCAACAGATAGGGGCTGATCTGCGTTGTTCTCATTTGAACTGACATTTTAAAATCATAATATTGTATTTGATTTATATTATTTAGCCGACATTTTAGAATCATAACATAGTATTTGATTTGTATATTTTAGCTGAGATTTTAAAATCATAATATAGTATTTAATTTGTATCATTATAGCTGAGATTTTAAAATCGAAGAAGAGTATTTGTCATTTAAAATCAAAATATAACATGCTTTGTGTCACTGTGACTGAAATTTTAAAATCGAATAATGGTGTATATGATTTGTGTTTTTGTCATTTTAACCAAGATTTTAAAATCAAACAATAGTATAAGATTTGTATAATTTGTTTATATACAATACCTACTGTATAAATGATACTGTGTTTCGGGCCATGGTAGACAGATACTTGATCATGCATCGTTAGATTTAATAGTTTCAAGTTTTAACGTGCCTGTACTCGGATGTAATATATTGTGCTACATTGTTTAATAACACACAACACGATTATATGGAATACAAATTACTTAGAAAGACGAGAGAATTCTTCTCGAAACGTAGTCTGATAAACGTAGCTTGATATAAACTTCTAATAGTAAATGCAGGGGGACTGAACCACACATAATTTACACAAAAACAATCTACGGACAAGACACAATAGGCAGAAATCACAAACAAACGAATGTATCAAATTAAGTGAATGGATCCGGGGGCTAGCCGTAAGCGTCCATTGCGCTGTACAGTCCCGGGCCTGTAGTAATTTGTATTCCATATAATTGTGTCATGTGTTATTTGCATTCAGTTACTAAATGTCATTTATATATTAATGTATATATTGTTTACATCGTCGTTTCCATCCCAGTGATGTGCAGGTGTTTGGAGATGCCCGGGAGAAACCCATTGCATGTATGTCTCCAAGAATCACGTATGGGGGCCTAGTTCTGATAAATGGGAGAAGAAATACATTTTAAATATGTAAAACAGATAAAATAAAATAAATATTCAAATCAAATAGGACATTTACGAAAACAAAGTTAACTGCGATAATTATGAATTTCACAACACCTAATGTAATTTCACTATATGACCTTTCTGAAATAGATGCCCGGGAGTGCGCGCCCCTTTTCTGAACGACACTAGTCCAGTACGCTACAATATAATATGTAAAATGCTATTGGTCTAGTTAAGAATATTTTCTCGCATATAGAACAATAATCTATCAAACAGTAGAACAATTACTGATTTATTTTGGCGAGTTTTAGAAATAGTTTTCTCTTGGCGTTTTCAAGCTTGTAATATAGTATACACTTCTTTTTTTTGAAACAGTAGGACGTTAAACCCCATTTCATTTCATTTATATACACTTTTGACAGTTGCAATTGTGTACCTAAACGCTGTAAATTCGATGGGTTTTTTTAAATATATATTGTGTTCATATATATTAAGTGTTAACTATGGAAATTCCAAATGACACACAGACCATGACAGTCTTCAGTATTTATCAAGATTTATTTAAATATATTTTAATAAATATATTTAATTTCTCTCAATATAAATGAATTTGATAACAAGATTTGAGATGGATAGGCCTACATGAAACCCATCACCTATTCAAATATGCTTCTGACAGTTACACACTGAGAAAATCACATTTTCATCAATATTTACAAATGCACAGGGCACAATGCGATGGAATACAAATTTCTGTTTATTACTGAGAAATTTTTCAACTGTCTTTATCAGGGGTGTTGGGTGACCGAATGGTTAGCGTGTGAGCGCTGCATCATAAGGTCTGTCATTGAGTCCCCGGTTGTACGTGACAAGGAGTAGGATCACCTGTCCAACCTCGTGGGTTTTTCTCCGGGTCGCCGGTTTCCTCCCAAAGACCCCTACGCGCAAGCGAATTATTGAAATAAAATTGCACCATGTTAGTACCGAAATGACATAGTTTGTGTCGATTGGACGTTAAACCCTTCTCTCTCTCTCTCTCTCTCTCTCTCTCTCTCTATCTCTTGTCTTTATCAAATGAATGACGCAATCATAAACAGTTTAATAATATACAGTAAAAGTAGTCCACAGATAAGCGTCCGGTGTTTTTCCGGTTTAATAAATGCCATTAAAACAGTTTATTAATATATTCACAATGGCCGATTACTAGATAGTCAAAATATGAAATTATCATTTAAGATTAAAATTAACATCCGCGTTTGAGCCTTGTCCATAACATTCATAGCTAAAATCAATGTCATTAAAACTGTTTTTATTATTTACAATGATCGTTTACGAAGTGTTCAAAATATGAAATTATTATTCAAGAATAAAATAAACATCCGTGTTTGAGTCGTGTCTATATAAACATACATAAAATATACTCACTCGGATATCTAGGATGCATAAAACCTGGGTATCTGGCCAGCCATTGTTGATGAGGATGGGGCATCTCTCTGCCCAGTCCGTAGAGAAGGGGGTTAATGGGAATATGGGACTGAAACGGCGAGGGGTTAACATTAGGTAAAACCCTATTACACACACGTAATGGCTGAAATAAACTACTTTCAGAATGTCCGCTTAAATTAGTAAATAAATGTTTTAATTCATCTCCTGTGTATCTGTTGCAACGATTCTCCATTTCCGGGGATCCTGTTTTGTCCGTTCGGGGTGATTCGGGTGTTTTCGCCCGGTCTCGGTCATCTTTCCGCCCTATTAAGGCGTCTATAGAAAATCCATGTGGTTTCTTCACGCGAGGTTCCATAGCTAATGTCGCCATGTTTTCTAAATAACTCAGTACATTAAAAAGAAGCGAAGAGAATTCAGAATGACCCTCGTCTGCTTGTCGAAGAACACATCCACGTATCAAACACAAAATTATCGTCTGCTAAAACGTCAGTCGAATGGCTGACCCACTTGGCTACTAAATTCCTTTGTATATTTTGCTGGCTTTAACACCGCAACAATCGTGATCGCAAGCGTTAAACAATCAAACACGAAATAAAAACCATGTGGTGAAAATTACCTCTATACCAGCCTACTTCTCGTGCTAGTGTTCTATTTGACAGCTACACGCCCAGAACACTTTCAGCCAATTAAACGCTAATTACTGGTATCGGGGGCGGAGCTTAGCGATAGCGGGACTGTGATTGGTTGATGTGTGACACACGCTTTTGTCAACCAAAAGCGGAGGTTGTATCGCTTAATTCGACTAAGAAACGTAAATAAAATGAGTAAAACGGATCGAAAGACAACGAATCGTGATATCTGTAAATACAGCGCTGATTGTATTTCATAGATTCGTTGATCCGCGTCCAATCCATACATTAAGCGTCACAGCTGTAAGAATGGCGTCGAATAAAGCGATAGATTTTAGGCTAGCGGGACAATAAGCGTGAAATAAAGAGCTAATAAACCATAATTGAATCGGTCAGAAAGGCAAAGAAGGGGATTATGCTATACATGTAAACTATGAGTTTTAATATGTCCTACTGTAAATAAGCAACACATGTTTCTAGTTTATAGAAAATAAAACCAACAACGCGGTATTCGTGTACAAAAACATATAAATGTCTAAATGCAATGATATATATATGAATTTATGAAACGTAGACTGACGTTTCGCGCGGTTTCCAAGATGAAAGCTTGAGCAGTTAATCGGATAATAATCGTCGATGGATTCGATCGAATTTGATGATGTAGACATTGTTTACGCGTATCATAGAATAGTTTATTAATCGCTAACGATGTCGTTATAACGGTTATTGGCGATGTTAATTTTATGCCGCATAGCGACATTTATTTTAAACCTACCGCAATGCATTTATTATCTTATATATCCGGGAATATTAGCCCAGTTGTAAAGCTGCACTGCTTTATTTCACGGTAAACGATGAAAAGACAAAAGGTATGTTGGGCCCTGTTTCTCGAAATCTTAACTAAAGATAAAATCCAAATTTTAGTTAGATAGTTCAATTTTGATTGGCTAAGCACTAAAATCAACCTAATATTATCCAATCAAATTACTAAAATTTGGATTTTATCTTATTTAAAATTTCGTGAAACAGTCCCCTGATTTCTATTACACTGGTTTAATAACAATTTAACATTTTAAAGTAGATGAAATACAAATATTTCTATGTTTGCGGTAAATAAATGTATAAACAAAAAAAATTATTAAAATTTGGTCAGTTAAATAAAAGCATAAATCTCTGCATAAATGTATAGATAACATACATTTGGTTTAGTTAATAATACTTATAACAGTGAGTTCTTACAATGCGCACAGATACATTGAAGTTCATGCCCAAGGCTCTTCACTATCACAAGATAAAAACAGAGAGAGAGATAGAGCGACAAAGAGAGAGAGAGAGAGAGAGAGAGAGGGGGTGTCTTTGCTCATCATTGGAGGGATTTTAAATTCCCTGTAGATTACAATACTGTAAAAGTTGAATCTTTAAGACTTTAAGAGGAATAACAGTTCAGAAATGGTTTAATCCATAAATTTCTTCTTAAATTTGGTTGTTAAAAAAATCAATCACTTTTACAGTTTGGACCACATCAAATCATAAGCTATATTTCTGCCCCTAATCGAGGGTCTTCTGATGTATATATTTACATTTACTTATAAACATATAACGGTAAATCTCTTTGATCTTTGGGGTCCCGGAATAACTTGCGGTCTGAAAGTCGGGGCTTCGTATATATATATACAGGGAAATTTGGGGTTATTCTTCTGAAAGTTTTTCTTTAAACATGTACCGGGTTATTCTTCCAGGAAAGGTTTTTTTTCCATAAGAAAACATGATATAAGGTTTTTCTTACGGGAATTCTGGGATATTCTCATCTTGCGTACATGTAAACATAGACGCTTTATAAGCAAGATCAAGTCCTCGACTTCGGTTATGCTGGGGGAAAGAAAGACTTCCGAAAAAACCCTCGACAGAAAAACCTTGGCCTGTCGGCCTCGGTTTTTCTTTTTCTCGGGTTATTTTCTTCAGTCTTTCTTTCCCCAGCATTACCTCAGTCTCGTGCTTTATACTACACCTAATAACTGAAAATTTAAAACGGAATCAAAATAATCAAATAGAGGAGTAGCATAGATTAAATTCTGTCCGCGCACTGCAATATATACTAAAATAGACGCACTATTCTAAATAACATGGTTTTTTTCTCTTGAGGGTATTTCCTGACATCCGGGTATTCAGCAACCATCAGATTGAATATTAAATGTGTTTTAGACGAAACGCTTGAAACCCGATCTGAAATTAATGAAATAAAGAGAAAGTTGTTGACAAAGATATTAAGGACATTTTAACCACTTTAAATCATCCTCAAAAGCCCTTATATTACTAGTTCTGAAATATAACATCAAATTATCGCTCCATTAAGTTGAGAGAGAGAGAGAGGGAGAGAGGGAGGGGCATCTTACTTTCTGCACTACCCGGGATAATGAAAACGGGCATGCGCCATGCATCATGCTACGAGGAAAGAGATTTATTAATGTCTCGGCGCATTATTTGAGAGATTTTAAATTCCTTGCCGACTATGTACAAATATCGTAAAAGTTGAATCTCTAAAAGGAACATTAGTTCAAAAATGGTCTCAATCCTGTTGTCAATTTGTCAACATTCGGCATTTACTGCAGACGATATATTATATACAATTTTCACTGAAACATTTTGATGCGCCTCTTTTTAATCCGACTGAATCAAGGCTGATGGATTATCTACAATTAATACATTAATGATGAACAATTTAAATGTCACAAAATTGGACTTGTGGTTCTTTTTGGGCGGATTGACGGTCGTGTACTTATGGTTCACAGAAACAAAAACACAGTAATTTAAATATCTTTATATAACTACAATATGATATCAATACAATTAACGTGTAATTATTCTCTAATGGTGTTTCACGTAATTTATATCATTAATACTTTGATTTGATTTTTTTACTTAAATATGACGAACAATTTAAATATTCAATTTTTAAACATGCATTATGCAATAGCTAAATCTGTCAATTGCAGGCCTTTCTTTAGGCCTGAAATGTTATCTAAATTATGAATTAGACATTAATTAACTTATCCAGACAGGGCCGTAACTAGCTCAGAGCAACGAGGCGCGGGAAGTGTTCTCGGTTGTGCTGTAATATTGACGGACAATGTATATCTATTTTTTTTATGGTCGAAAATTTTTTCACGGCGGGGTGGGGGGGGCAACTTTATTAGAACTCGGACTGCTGCTTCTGATTATCTCAAAAAATGGATAATCGAGACTATATTTTTTTTATAGTACCGACTTTAGTAATGATGATCGACGCTAGGCCCAAAATTCAATCGCTGAATACACGGTTCAGGGTGGATCAATTTGACAGAAATTTTCAGCAAATTCTCTTTACACTATCTAGTTTTTAACTATTACAGTGAGAACTACCAGCTCTTTATCTCATCTCCCATAGTGTATCTTTAAAAAGGAAGGAAAACCGAGATTAACGTTGACTCGACATATTATGAGCAATGCTGACAAACTATATTCCTAACCTGTCATAATTTTTTTTGTAAAATTTAATTAGCGTGAAATATTAATTTTTAGATTTCTCAAACCTTGGAACGAATTGTACGACCATATTGATTACAGGTTCCGTTTATTGATTTGAATATATTTTATATTGAATATTCATATAATAATCAATGCATGAGTTAATTTGAAAATAAAAGGTTATTTTAACCCCCTTAAAGATGAACTATGTAAGAGCGAAATCTTCTTATTGCAGGGTTTTTTCCGGATTCAAATGTTATATAAATTATAACATAACAAGCCTATAATCAACTGTCTAGAACACCGGATGGCCGAGATTTAAATGGATTTAAACACCCGTGAGATTTAAAAATTTAACGAAAAAATGGACAATCGAGGCTTAGTCAATGTTAAAAAGACGCCATATTTAAAGTCTCTAACTCAATATCATCCACAGTCTTCGATATTGCAAACACAACTTATTGGTCAATTTAAATCAACATTGGTGTTGTTATCTTTCCGTATCCAATATTCTGGTATCCAATATTTAAGACACAATGACAATTTTTAACTTTGCACACAAATCGCGTGCCAGAATGCTTTCGAGCGCCATTTGTAATGAAATGACTGGATGAACGAGGCTAAACAAGGGAGGACAATTGGAGTAGACTGGAATGACCAGACTCCAACGACTGCCATTCAATTTGCACTCTTCGCGTATTTCGCCATACATAACTGATTAGAAATTACAGTAAAAACAGAAACGATTGAATGTAAATTAGTTTATATACATTCATAATACATTATTATATGTGTTGCCACCCATTTTTGTCCATTTCTAGGTGCCAAAGAATAGAGATTTAGCTCCTTTAAATTCTTAAATAAAAAGACGCGTGTGTGTGTATGTGTATGTTCACGGACAATCTGCATTTTATTCAATACAGATTTATCTTAAAACTCGAAATAAATACTCTTTAAAACAGAAACTGGTGGAGGTAATTGTTGTTTTTTTTATTTAAAAATACATTATACAAGAGCTAAATCTGCCCGTTGCAGTTCTTCTTTAGGCCTAAAATGTTATCTAAATTATTAATTAGACATTAATTAACTTATCCAGACCATAATCAACTCTCGATGGCATAGCTAGTCTGCGATATTTACTCGATTAGAACCCGGCCTCCTGCTTCTGGTTAAATCAAAAAGTGGATAATTGATGATCGAGGCTAGGACGAAAATTCAATCGCTAAAATCACGGTTCAGAGTGGATCAATTTGACTGAAATTTTCAGCAAATTATCTTTACATTATCTAGTTTTTAACTATTATAATGAGAACTACCAGCCCTTTATCTAATCTCCCATAATGTATCTTTAATATTGAAGCTGAAAAGACGCCATATCAATTTTTTAAATATAAAGTGTATATTTAAAGAAACTGGGAAGCTATACAGTCGCGTAAAGAGACAAATC